ACTGAATAACTTTTGTTGTAGAGTGTGAGCAGCGTCGAATGTTGCTTCTCTTTTGTGGCCAGCAAGATCGGCCCTTCGTGAAAACGAATGAAGATTAACCCAAACAAATCACCAAGCACTGACGCACGCAAACGGAAGCAATTTTTTCTGTATTGATATATCGGACATCAGGAAAAGTTAAAGTAAAATAAGCGTCTATTATTTAATCCGGGGCCAAATTAATTGTACCGATACACCGCATTTATTAACAGCAGGCAAGTTAACATGGCAAAACGAAAAGGCAAAGACCGTCACGTATTGTTCTGAAACCATATCAGGCAATGGATTGAGTGGGTACGAAATGCCACGCCCGGAGTGTTACTTTCGGTGTGGGGGAAGTACAAGCGTTATCGCGGGGTTGGGGCTTTTAGATAATTACGAGGAGATACCTTACGTAAACTATCAGCCACGGAGCACACCCAATGCATACTACTCGGTTCAGAAACAGAGTAATGTGCGGTTAAACAGCACAGCTACGTTTATATAAACGAATATATTCTAAATGAGATATTTCAGGTTCTTACGGCTGCTAGTATGACGTCTTCTGGGATGTTGCGTCGTGTGGTCTGGAGGAAACTGACAGGCAACTGTGAGCAGCTTAATGCCTCCATTGTCTGGGTAAAGACAACTCCTGCAGGCAGAAAGCGCCTCTGGAACGTCGGTCAGTTTCTAGAAGTTAACACAGCGCAACATCCCGGAGGACAGTCATCTTGATATTCAAGTTACATTTACAATATTGTTCCTTTCTTCGCATTATGATTGCTATTATCTGAAATAGATTAGTCAGTGAAAATAAAAGATTCGTTTTCGATTCCCGGCGCCTCTCAGATCATATTCATAAAGAATTTAACACTGCCATCCTTTCAGTATCTGCAATGCTCATGCAGCTGTTGAACTACGGACCAACCAATAAGAATGATAACCGCAAGGCTTCATTTCATCTACCGCACGCGAGATATAATTAAATACTTGTAACGTATGCAGCCTGATAGACAAGTGATGTGGTGCATAACCTCCGTAGTCCTCAGTGGAAAACATTGGTCTTTAGAACAAAGATATTTCTCGCACGTCTTTGTTGCTTTCCGCTACTCCGATGTTCGTAGTATGGCTATCTTGAGCTTTTTTTTAAATTCAGCTGACAACAACAAAACCATTTCAATATCACCCTCCCGTAGCACGTTTTGGCATTAACTCCATGTTCCCAATTACATACTAAGGCTGAGCAACTCGCAAGGCCTTATGTTTTTATTCTTCCGTGTAACAAGTAGTCTGCAATCAGCTGACTGCAGTCACTCTCGTGACCCGTGACAGACCTCACTCTACGTCATTTCTACTGCCATCAAATGCATAATTACCACTGAAGGTCGAGAGGACAGGAATGCAGACATCTGCTTCCAAGTCACGTTTTCAGGCACACTACAGCCTAGTCAACGAGCGTGCTATGTCAGACGGGCTTCATTGGTAAGAGTTTAATGAGTTTGAGGTTTGAGAAGCTTCATGAATTATACTCCATTCGAATATTGTCAGGGTGAATAAATAATGAAAGGTGAAATGGGCGGGGCATGTAGCAGGCCTGGGGAAAAATAATTACGAAGTTTTAGATGAAACATCTCATGTAGTTTTGGTATGAACCTTGGCCTTCCACCCCCAAGGAAAGCCTACAGCGTTTCGTTTTTTGCTTAAAATTCATCAACATACTTAACGTGTCAAAATAACCAGAGAACTCGTAAATTAAAATTCAGAACATTGTTTGTGTTATCCGTTTATTGTAACAATCACCAATTCCTAAAGAATATCATCTTAATTTCTTATCACATTGCTTTGCGAATACCAATGTCTTCTGGGATGTTGCGCCGTGTAGTCTGGTACAAATTTACTCACGTTTCAGATGTCCTTGCTGCCTCCATCATCAGGGTGATGAGATGACTGAAATAGCAAGCACCTCCGAAACGTCTGTAAACTACCAGACTACACGGCGTAACATCCCAGAAGACAGTTATCTTCATATTCGCCGTCGTGGGAACCTGAAATCTCACCTACATGACTTCATGTTATATTGAACAACATTTCTCTTGTGCAATAGCACCCCTACCCTCACCACCACCCTGGTTAGCGTTATAATTTCCGATTGAAATGTTATATTAATCAGGGCACGGGTCTCCATATTTCAACCTCCTGCTTAAGCTTACGATATATCGCCATCTTGCTCCTGGTTCCAGTGGAGCCCATTTAGTTGCCTGCGTTGTTGATGATGGGTTCGATTATTCATGGCCAGTGATGGAACAAACCCAATATGTTTCGAGGGATCGTGGCTGTAACAGTGACGCATCGGATTTGGGGCTCCGCTGTGAATCTCACTGTGGTGATAGACATCATTATACTAATTATGAAATGCCTTTACGACAGTGAACAAATGGCTTACGTGCCGTAAATGACGCGAATGTACTACCTTTCCACTTAAATCTTATACCTCACCATACGAGTAAAGAACGTCTACTAATGCGAATAATGGCACATCACCCCCAAAATTTTATATGACTTCAGTCTTTCTTTAGAGTAGAAACAAACGAAATTGGGAATCGAACTGAAGCCTGTGAGTTCAAAGCCACTAATCTGGCCAACACATTGCGTCAGCTTATACTTGTAGCTGGGTTTGGAGAAACTTCGATCAGAGATAACGCTTTGTTGAAATGTGAATGCTGATGTAACGGTGCCAAATGACTGATTCATAGGCCACCCAACATACTCTGAAGACAATTGGGTTGCGTTATTACAAGCACCGTTATCACGTAGAAGCCGTTATTGGAATGACAAGACAACGTCACTTCCTTCAAAATATACGGACTGAATGAAAACACATGTCTGGCAAATACGAGTCGTAGTAAAATACTGGGTTGCTATTAACGTTAGTAGGGAATTCCATTTCAGTCCAAAATCTTTTGTCCTCCCGTCTCATATCATGAAAACAAAAGATTAAATTCATACAAAAGTGTAATTTTTCCAGTTGTGATGACTGTATGGGTGCGAAACTTGGTCTCTCACTTTGAGGGAGAAGCACAGATTGCGGGTGTTTGAGAACAGAATGTTGAGGAGGATATTTTAACCTAAAGGATCACATAAAAAATTGCATATGATAAGCTTCACCTTCCATATATACTATGTAAGCATTCCAACTACACTAAATTTAACATTGCCCTTTCGAACCACACCATACTTGTAGCTGTTAATACGAAAATTAAAATTTATGCAGAACTTATAAGCATATTTATGATGTATCTCCTTATAGTACTTATTAGTTGAATTTCAAAGTTCATCAGTCATTGCCATCAAATCAAAAGATTTGACTAATGCAGACTTAGAGAGAGTCCACATTACTGTTATAAAAAAAACAAGGGCATTTTCGAATATCTTTCTTCACACAACATTTTAGGACCCTATACAAGCATAGTTTCCATGTCAGAAGTTGGCACAGCTTTCATGTTGGTATTAATAATGATAGAGAAATAAAGCGTCCCTTGTAGCGTTACCATGATTTTAAAGTTCGCCTTCTAGTACGAAATATATTAGGAATGGTGGAAGACACACACGAATGAGATTATACCAAAAGCCTTATTAGGCAAGGAAATTAGGCTGAAAGCCAACAATTTTGTGTCCATACTACAATATTGATGTTTGTGATTGACTTAGAAAACATGTGAGAAACCGCCACATTTGACTCC